GGGGGGAGGCAATATCTTCTGAGCTACCCAAAGGCAATCAGAGTCCTGTTGGTGTTCTGATTAGAACTCCTATTAACTCAGAGTATTAAAAGTTTCTAGGAGCAACACAACTGGCTGGGCTGGGCTGGGCTGGGCTGGGCTGAATTATATCTTCTCTCAAGCAAAAGTCAGAATCATCATGGAATCAGTCCTTTGTGCCGTTCTAATTCAATTTCAAAGAAGCAATCTAGAACTAAGGAGAAACTTCCTGACAGTGAGAACAATTAACCAGTGGAACAACCTGCCTCCAGAAGCGGTGAATGCACCAACACTGGAAGTTTTTAAGAAGAGATTGGACAGCCATTTGTCTGAAATGGTGTAGGGTTCCTGCCTGAGCAGGGGGTTGGACTAGATGACCTCCAAGGTCCCTTCCAACTTTACTATTATCATCATCATCATCATCATCATTATTATTATTATTATTATTATTATTATTATTATTATTATTATTATTATTATTATTATTATTATTATTATTATTATTATTATTATTATTATTAATTGTCCTAGGATTTAATGTACTGTGTCCTAGTTTCTATTTTCCTGAACCATCTTTAAGCTTGTAGAGGTTCCTTCTTGTCTTTGGTGAGAGTTGTTTCGAAAGAGAACAAAATATCTTTGGTCTCATCAGAGGATGTCGACTACCATTCAGGTCATGAATTAAACGTAGGCGGAGGAAGTACAAGAATGAAGGACGTTTAGAGATCAGTATTGATTTTTACATTTGCTTGTAACAAGCCCACTCCATGGTTTGTAACAAGTCCACTCTCAGTGAATTAGATTATGTTGGGGAATGTTTTTTCATACAGAGAAGTTGATCTATTTAATAGCCTAGTGATGCCTTGAAATTAATGGGTTGTGGCCAAAGTCTCATCTTGGGACTAGGCTGATGGGCTAAATGGATGCTCATGTTATATTGAGGATAATGCAAAGATGGAACTAAAGTGTGATTTCTAGGTAGGTAGGTAGGTAGGTAGGTAGGTAGGTAGGTAGAGATAGATAGATAGATAGATAGATAGATAGATAGATAGATAGATAGATAGATAGATAGATAGATAGATAGATAGATAGATAGATAGATAGATTAGATTAGATTAGATTAGATTAGATGATTAGATTAGATTAGATTAGATTAGATTAGATTAGATTAGATTAGATAGGCAGGCAGGCAGGCAGGCAGGCAGGCAGGCAGGCCTTTTTTAGAGATGTCCCTGAGTAGAAAGAGCACAATGGGTATTCCTCACATGTGCATATCCTGTTTGGATCTTTTCTGCTGCAGGGTGAAAGACACAGTGAAGTCACTTCTGAGGGAGCAGGAACACATCCACCATCAGCTCAAAGAAGAGAATGCTGAGAAAGAGCAGTACCAGGTGAGCGTGGAACAACAGGTTCGAAAAGAGGGACACGAAGGGAAGCAGGAAACCCAGAGCTGGCATCCTTAGCCCAGCAGCTGGCATGTTGGAAACACCTCTCCTCTCCTCTCCTCTCCAGGTCAAGCTGCAAGCTTCCAAGGAGGAGAGCCGTAGCCTGGCCTCCGACTTGCAAGAAGCCAAGAGTCGTCATGGTGAGAAAATCTCCCAGGCTCTCATGCTGCAGGAGGATATTCAGAAGTTGCAGCAGAAGCTGGCCGCGGCTAACTGCCGCACAGTAAGTACATGATGACAGGGAGCTTCTAGGAATATTAAAAAATAAGGCTTATCAAGTCCAGCACGCTGTCTGTCTCTGATGGTGTCTCTCTAATGCAGACATGTCCAAAGTCCGGCCCGCGGGCCATTTGCGGCCCGCGGCCCGGTTTAATCCGGCCCTCGAGCAGCCCTCCCTGCTCTATATAAATGCGGCCCTCCCACGGCCCTCCGGCAAGTCCCATGAAAGAGAGAGAGAGAGAGAGAGAGACAGAGGCACTTGCACTTCTCTCTCTCTCTCTCTCTCTCTCTCTCTCATGGGACTTGCCCCCTCGCAGGGCTCCTCATTGGCCCTGCGCCCTGTTACCCCGCCCCCAGCCGCAAGCCACCATCCGCCCTGTGGTTATAAGTGTCCCAGCAGTTGGGACCCGCCCCTCCCGGAAGTCAATCAATCCTTGGCGGTTCTCCGTCCGGCCGCGGCTTTCC